CCTCACGGCTTGTTTAGCCTGGCTGCGGGTGACCGTTCCCACCCTCTTGGCCTGCTTCACATGCTTGGCCAAGTCTTCCCCCAACAGCATGGGGATGGGATAATCATCATAGACTGCAAAAGTCCACATTCCTGACCAGCCCTTGTACTGGACAGGCAACTTGGCTGTAGGCAAATTGAAAGAGTTGGACTTGAAGGGTTGAATCGTCACTCGGATCTCTGGGTTGATTAAATTGGGGTCCACTAAGGAAGCATGGATAGCTGACACTTGTGCTCCGGTGTCCCTCCACGCGGTGACCTTCTTCCCGCCCACACTCACAGTTTCCCTCCGCTCCAAGGGTATCTGGGAGGTATCTGGGCCTGTGGACCTCTGGTGTGATTCCGGTGCAATGAACTGTAATCTGTTGGGGTTCTTGGGGCAGTTGGCCTTTACATGCCCCAGCTCGTTACATTTAAAACATCGTCCAGCTGACGGGTCACTGGGGCGAGGAGGGTTGCTGGAGAACGGGGTGGTGGGACGATAAGGGGTCTGGAGGGTTCTTTGGGAGGTAGGTGGGGCTTTGGGCGGCCCCTGGTAATAGGGTGTGGTCTGGGGTGGTCCCTCCTGGTCTCCGCTCCAACTGCGACCAGTTTTCTTCTTCTCTGCCACCTCCACCCATCTGGCTCCAATCTCTCCTGCCTCGATTACAGTTTTGGGTTTCCCATCTAGGATGTATCTTTCTATTTCCTCAGGAACACCCTCTAAGAATTGTTCCATTTGCATTAGGAAGGGCAAATTTACTGGAGATTCAACACTTGCTCCTGATATCCAGGCATCCCAATGGTTCACAAGGTGGTAGGCATGTCGGGTAAATGACATGTCTGGTTTCCACCTTAGGGCTCTGAACCTCCGACGAGACTGCTCGGGTGTTATCCCCATTCTGACTCTCGCCTTGGATTTAAACAGTTCATACTTGTTCATGTGTTCTTTAGGCATTTCAGCTGCCACCTCAGCTAAGGGTCCACTGAGCTGCGGCCTCAGCTCTACCATGTATTGGTCAGTAGAGATGTTGTACCCAAGGCAGGCCCTTTCGAAGTTTTCTAAGAAGGCCTCAGTATCATCACCTGCCTTGTAGGTGGGGAACTTTCTGGGATGGGAAGTGGTACTTGGAGAAGGATTGCTAGGGTTTGTTGGGATATTCCGCTGAGCCTTTATCTTCTCCACCTCCTCCACATGCTTCCTCTCTTTTTCCTTCTCCTCCAGTTCTTTGTCCCTTGCTTCCATTTCTTTGTCCCTTGCTTCCATTTTCAGCCGCATGAGTTCTATCTGTCTTTCATGTTCCCTTTGTTTTTCCTCAGCCTGAAATCTGGCTAATTCCAGCTTTTGTCGAGCCGTGGATTTTGTCATTCTAACCTCTCTGTTTTTAACTAACTTTACACCCAAGGTTTAGAAATAAACAAACAAAACTTGGCTGTAAAATTTTGCTGTGCTGGAATAGAATACCTATTCTCTGATAGTGATTGTCAGCCTACAGAAAAAGACAATTCCCTTGTCTCTGCTCTGGGCCCAAATCAAAGCAAAAAACCTCCAACTACTTGGAAACCTGCTTACCAGCAGCCCAAAGGAAAAAAAAAATTCCTTTTCAAACCTGTGCTCCTTGTAAAACAAAAAAATCAAAATCCTAAAAAAAAAAACCCTGCCACTTTTGTCTCCAGGCAAATGGGTAGAACACACACCCCCTATTTACTTTTAGGAAGAAAAGAAAAAAAAAAACTCTGGGTTGGAAGACTGTGAATTTCCCTGCAGGAGTTAAGTACCCTGCCTCCAGGCAAAGAAAACCTGCAATTCACAAAGATAATCCCCTTTTGTCTCTGCTTGGCCACAAAGCAGAGAAAAACCAAGCTGCTTTCAGTTTCAGCTGCTTTCTGGACTTCCTTTCCAAAGGAAAAAAAAAATTCCTTTTTAAAATCTGTATTTCTAGTTCAAAAAATCTCAACTGGATCTCAAAATGATTTCAGGTTAATCCCACCACTATGCCACCATGTCAAGGTTCCTCCCCCACTCTGAACTCTAGGGTACAGATGTGGGGACCTGCATGAAAAACCTCCTAAGCTTATCTTTACCAGCTTAGGTCAAAACTTCCCCAAGGTACAAAATATTCCACCCGTTGTCCTTGGACTGGCCGCTACCACCACCAAACTAATACTGGTTACTGGGGAAGAGCTGTTTGGACACATCCTTCCCCCCAAAATACTTCCCAAAACCTTGCACCCCACTTCCTGGACAAGGTTTGGTAAAAAGCCTCACCAATTTGCCTAGGTGACTACAGACCCAGCCCCTTGGATCTTAAGAACAATGAACAATCCTCCCAACACTTGCACCCCTTCTTTCCTGGGAAATGTTGGATAAAAAGCCTCACCAATTTGCATAGGTGACCACAGACCCAAATCCTTGGATCTGAGAACAATGAAAAAGCATTCAGTTTTTTACAAGGAGACTTTTAATAAAAAATAGAAGTAAATAGAAATAAAGAAATCCCCCCTCTAGGCAAAACCTTAAGTTACAAAAAAGATACACAGACAGAAATAGTTATTCTATTCAGCACAATTCTTTTCTCAGCCATTTAAAGAAATCATAATCTAACACATACCTAGCTAGATTACTTACTAAAAGTTCTAAGACTCCATTCCTGGTCTATCCCCGGCAAAGACCCAGCATACAGACAGACACAGACCCTTTGTTTCTCTCCCTCCTCCCAGCTTTTGAAAATATCTTGTCTCCTCATTGGTCATTTTGGTCAGGTGCCAGCGAGGTTACCTTTAGCTTCTTAACCCTTTACAGGTGAGAGGAGCTTTCCCCTGGCCAGGAGGGATTTCAAAGGGGTTTACCCTTCCCTTTATATTTATGACAGCTGCGTAAAAAAATAATATAATTGCATGATCAATTAAATAACTGAGTCACTTTGCTGTTGCGCACACAAATTTTGGTAACATTTTTTGCATTGTGTAGAATCCATTTTAAAAAAAATTATTTTTGTAACTGACATCTTTTACTCTTTTCTAGAATATGTGTTCTTTCTTGTGATGATTTGACATTATAAACCCTTCATTAACCATGATGGCAACACAGACATTAAGTATAGACAACTATCAAGATGGGCAACAAGTGAGAGCATTTTTTCTCCTCTATGTATTGCATTACTATTAGCAAGTGAAAAATTTACCTTTTTGTTTAAGGTTAGGCTCTATATGTGATGTGATGTTGCATCTTGGAGCAGTGGTTCCTAAAACTGCATTCAAATTAACATTAGTCTGTGGGCAAGTTATGTCATTGATCCGCACTCTGAAGACCTGTTCTCCATTATTGCTGTATGCCAGCCTGAGCAGTAGGTACAAGTCTTCCTGCCAGTAGATGGAGATAGTGTTAACTGTCAGAAGAAAAACTGAGTTGTTTCTTCCCCTACAAAGAGGCCTGGTTAGCTGAACAGTAAGTTCTCTTTTATTTCCAAAGAGGCAGGTCTCTGGATTGCTGTCTTCTTTTTGGAGTACCTCCTGCTTTTATTTTGGAGAGCTTTTTTTCCATAAACCCTTTTCTTTGACAGGTTTACTTAGTTTAGAATACTTATTTGCCTTGGTAAAGAGATGGTGGAATGGTGGATAAAAATCACTGATTTTTTTAAAAAAAAAAAATTTAAAAAATTGGATTATTTTGATAAAATGCTTTTTGAGGAAAAAACCTATCTAAAGATATCTTTGAGCTATAATGTATCTTAATTAAAACAATCTCATCATGGAATAGGGATTATAAATTCTAATTCTATAGTATGAGACAATATGTTCATGTAACGTTTAAGAAAAGTTTTGTAAATGAGTTCCAATAGTTAATGGATTAGGGATCCAATCTTATGAGATTCCAGGGGCTTCTGTATAGATTGTTTAAGTTAATCTTTCTATCTACCCAATGGGGCTCAGTCTAGAAGATACCATCAGAGATGCTTAGTTTTGCAGTTCTCAACCTGTGAATTTGTGTCTGCACTCCAGAGATAACATGCTTGGTAACAGCAAAAGTGTTTTTAAATAAATAATATATAGAGGTGAGAAATAACAGACCTCACCCTGTTGTCCCTCTGCAAATTTGTGTACACAGAGTCAATCCCTTTTATCTCTCTAAAAGTGCGAAGTTTCAAAAAGTTCAGTGAATAGAAGATTATTGGAGGCGGAATAGATCTGGACAAGGAGAAGAAGTCTGAAGATAAATGTGAGAAGGGAGGGACAGGCAGTAGAAACAAAAGTGAAACTATTCGAGCAGCATATTCCAGAAGTCTTAAGGTCTTTCTGAGTGTAGCCTTCATTGATTTGAGATCTACCATACCATTCTCTCACTAGAAGGGAAAACCTATAATGGCAGAAGACTGTAAAAGAGACCCGGTTTGGGAATATTTTAATGAAGTTCCTCTACCTGTGGGTAAAACAGGCATGCTTGCAAAATGCAAACAGTGCAACAAAGAAATGCAAGGCCTGGTTGCCCAAATGAAACAACATCATGAGAAGTGCTCCTTCTCAGGAGGAAGCTGTATTGAAGATGATGAAAGGAACGTGTCTGAATATGCAGGATCTTCAGGTTGGTAAACTTTTTTTATTTCATACTTCTTTCTTAAGGACTGCCTGTCTTCCTTCTGGACTCTTCTTAAATTGTCGTGTTTGAGCAAAAATATATTTGTTACTCTGTGGTACTGTCATTTTAGATGCAGTTGTGATAAAAAAAATAACTGAAATAGGCAGATCATCTTTTTACAATTTCACCTTTAAAGTAGTACTGAGTATCAGTGAATGAAATGAGTAATACTAAATGAGCAGTATGGTAATAATAAAATAACTGCATTGACTTATTTTGTTTAGGAGAATCCATCCTCAACATACAGGATTCTGAAGACTATCCACCTTCAAGATCACCATAATTTTCCATAGTTTCAGAGTTATCTGCCAATGATAATATTTCAGTCACATCATGTATGTCACATAGCCACAGTATATCAGCTGTAGCAAAAAGAAAAAAAAATCTCCATCATCCAGAAACAACCAGTAAAGATAAGTTTGTGATAAAAACCAGCAGATTACAAAAAGAGGTAATTGATGAAAAAATTGCCCGGTTTGTTTATGCAACAAACTCTCCTTTCCATATGATTGAGAACCCACACTTCATTAACATGGTTCAGTCACTCAGACTGGGATACAGTCCACCAACAGAGCAGATGTTGCAGGCAAATTTGGATAAAGTGTATGAAAGAAAAATTGAGCAGTATGCAAAAAGTTTAGAGGGTAAAATTGTTAACCTGAGTCTTGATGGGTGGAACAATGTCCATAATGATCCTGTTGTATGTGCTTGTGTGACAACAGAAGAAGGGAATGTCTTCCTTACAGAAACAATTGCTACATCAGGAAATGCACACACAGCAGAATACTTACAAGAAGTAGCAGTAAAAGCTATAACAAAGTGTGAAAAAAATTTCAAATGTCTGGTATGCAGTTTGGTCACAGAAAATGCTGCAAATATATCCAAAATGAGAAGAAATTATTTAGAAGAGCATGAAGAGAGTCCCAAGCTAATAACATACGATTGCAGTGATCATGTGATGCACCTCCTAGCCAAAGACTTCAGTGTTCCAGAAATAAAGGCTAATGTTGTTGAAATTGCAAAATATTGCAGCGGCTGCTCTGAAAAGAGTGGGAGGAACCAAGCTAATTCTCCCACAAGACATGCGGTGAAACTCAGTAGTGGACTGTTTTGAGCACTATATCAAGAACTGGCCTAATCTGATGACAGTTTGGAACAAAATCATGAAAAAATAGATGGTACTGTCGCAGCCAAAGTTCTCAACGTTGATCTTAAGAGAAATGTTGAACGCATGCTGAGTACCCTGAAGTCTATTTCCGTAACCTGGAACAAAATGCAGGGAAATAGCTGTTTTATTGCTGACGCTGTTGAAATTTGGAAGGAACTGAGTGAGATCTTAAAATGAGAAATATGCAATGACAGAGTTAAATTACAAGCATTAAAAAAACAAATGGGACAAGCACTATTTCCAGCTTATTTTCTTGCAAATATTCTCAATACTTGGTACCAGGATCAAACCTTAACTGCTGAAGAAGAGGAGTTGGCTATGACATGGACATCCAGCAATCATCCCTCCATAATGCCAACTATAATAAACTTCAGAGCTAAGGATGAACCATTCAAGAAATATGTTTGCTGATGATCTTTTAAAGAAAGACACAAGAGTTAACTAATGGATTTGGAGTCTTCAATCCATTTTCAACAGAAAAGCACTGTTAAAGTCTCTGTAATCAGAAATAAGGTGTCAGATGGGGGTTTCAACTCTTTTTTGTTTTAAGCACTTGGATTCAGAGACTGCTGAAGTGATAATCTCACTTTTAACAGCAGTAGCTTCTTCAGCCAGTGTAGAAAGAATATTTTCTTCCTTTGGACTAATTCATTCCAAATTGAGAAATCATTTGGGACCTGAAAAGCTTGTTTTTTCTTTCCCAGATTATGACCAAACAGGAAAATGAAGGTAAAGACAACTGAGTGAGCTGCAGAAGCCAATATTTTAAGTTTCTCATGTTGACCTGGATGACATAATCAATTTAATTTTTTTTAAATGTTTCATTTAACTATTTTAGTTTTAAAACAATTTTAACAAAAACAAACCTGGTTTTAAAAAAAAACTTGAATGTTTAATTAAATTCAAAAATTCTTGTGCTTGTTTTGTTAAAATATCACACGTTTGCTGTTGAAGAGAAAAATCCAGAATACATAACGTTGTTTTAGTTAAATAAAACAATTTAAATGTCTGTCTGGTGGTGATCTCCTCCTAATACAGCATGGCAAGAAAATCCTCCAAATATTAATGATTAACCTGTTGAATTGGAGATAGTTCACTTCCCAATGACTTCATAAATATCTGCCTCAGTTACCTTTGGTAAATGAAATAACCAAACAATTGTTTCTTTTCTGATATAGCTGTAAAACTAATCTGAAAAGTTTTCACTTTAAAAATGTATAGTGTGTACCTTCTAAAAATGAAACCTACATCTATCTCTGAGTTGTGAAGAATATGTATTAAGGTTATAACAACCAACAAGAATGCACTTTTATGTAGAAATCCATGATTAGATCGAGTCTTCCTGACTAGTGATTTAAGTCATGATTTAAATCAATTTGATTTAAATCAAATCCACCCTGGCTAGTGGCAGTTTACTCCTGGGAGAATTCTGCACCCTAAAAAAAATTCTGCGCCATAAGTTTAAAAATTCTGTGTACAATAGTTTCAAATTTGGCAAAATTCTGTATATTTTATTTGTCAAAATAACACAATATAATTATGCCAGTTTCAATTATTTTGGTAATTTATTTCAAAATATCTATCCGCAATTATGTAATTTTGAGTAGTAATTTATTTAAACTACAATACAGAAATGTATTTCCCACACCCCTCAGAAGCAGTGCAAAGACTTGGAGAAGTCAAGGGTAATGGAGGAGCTGAGGAAGAGGAAAGTAATTGCTGGGAGGGAGCCTAGGTGTGAACTTGGAGGGTTGTTGGGTATGTGTGGAAGAAGTATGGAACCGTTTTTTGGGGGGTGGGGTAGGAGGGGTTGTTAGGGAGCCTCCCCCATGCAGACTCTTGCTGATCCCTAGCCTCATTCAGTCAGGCACCTCTGCCCCATCCCCATGTGTCCCTGAACTCCCACTCAGCCGGCCACCTTTCCCACCGTGTCCCTACACCCTTCTGTCCCCATGTGTCCCCACTCAGCCATCCCCATGTGTCCCTGCACCCCCACTCCCATTCAGCTCCCACCCTAGTCTGTCCCCCCTTCTGAACTAGCCCTTCTGAACCCCAGTCTGTAACTCCCCAGCAGCTCCATGTGTTCCACCCTCCCCATATACCATGCTTCCTGAACTAGCCCCACAGGTAGGATGCTGTGAGGAACAGAGTCTTTTCTTTTCTCTGTCTGCAGCTGGGGCTGCTTCCACCTAGCAGCGTCTGCTCTCTGTTCTGGCATAACAGCGGCCCCTGGTGGGCAAAAGGCGTAACTGCAGCACTTCTTGGCAGAATATATTTTGTGCTGAGGAAAGAAAATTCTGCACGGCACACGAATTATGTGAATGCACAGTGGTGCAGAATTCCCTCAGGAGCAGAGCGGTGGTTCTTTTTTTGTTTTGCGCTTCAGGAGCACTCTGCCACAAGGTAGTCTTCTGGTTTTGGTGTGTCTTGGCTTCTGTCATCAGCAGGAAACAGCTGAAAGAATGTAGCCCCCAGATTTAGGTAACTTGTTTTCCCATTGTTAGCCAAAAAATAAGTCCATCAATTATGTCTTTCTCCAGGCACAGTGGCTTCCAAATCAGCTAACCCTTCCGAGAGAACTTCTTGAGGGTTAGGAAGTTCTGCCATTTTCTCAAAATTTCCTGTTGAGCTAAAAGAGGGCTCAGCCATGTCAGACAACAAAGTCCAAACAGCCTATGCAAGACTCGCTCCAGGATAGTGTCTTAAATTCCTTTTCTTTGTTGTGTGCGGAATTAGGTGAAGCTTTGTCCCTAGATGACGTCTGAATTGGTTACTCTAATATTTATTAAGGGGCTGACTCTTTCTTCAAAGGATTGCTCTTGAGAACAAGGTGGTGACAGCCCTTGTGAGGGTGGGTCCTTCTGTGCTTTTTAATTTTCTTTCTGAGACCTTGATCCTAATGTGGTGATGGTGCTTAATGCAGCCTGGCTTTTCTGCGTAAGACACAAACTGCCATGGTTCAAGCAGAAAAAGAATCTTCTTATGCCACTGGTTCGGTGCCCCTAGGGGGACGTGACAAATGTTCAAGCTGGAAGAAAAATGCAATCCTTTTTGAAGGGAAGATTGGATTCCATGGTGGATAAGTTCTTCAAGTGGGATGATCTTTTTGTCCCCCTTAAGCGGGCTCTTAGTCTAAAGATACCTTGCTGTAGGTGAAAGAGAATGGAAGTCCCATTTTAGAAAGCCATCAGAAAGTCTCAAAGGCATTCCCAGTCCATTGGTGCCATTCAGGATGTTCTATATGTGCAGATTGAATTGCCCTACTGTAACTCTAACAATGTTCTTGTGGAGCTATAATATACCCAATATGATCATGGAATAGCATAAAACTACCCAAAGATTACAGGACTCTATAGCCTGTTAGTAATGTTTAAATCATGACTCTTTAAGCTTATCTTTTAAGGTGCTTTGGTGCTTTCCTGTTTTGCATCTTTTTCTTGCCTCTTACTATTGCAGCATTTACTTGTGCCCTGCACTCCCACACAAACTGCAGAGTAGCTTTTCAGACTCATAGTCTCTCTCTAACATACGCTATTGGATGCCTTTTTAGGCTGGTATCTTTCACTTAACTTGATTTTAATTTGTCGTTGTTCTGTTTTAAGCTGATTAAGTTTGTTCTGCATGGATATGAAGATGAGCTCATTTAGTTGAACTGGCAAACAAATGCCTTGTTAAAATATTTTTAATGGCAGTTACTTCACTCCATTCTGCTGAAAAACTAGTAAATATTACTTTTTAAATACAACTACTGTTGCTTTTTACATTGAGTAGGTATTCCTATATTGTTTAATATCATCTGCATATGTAAAAGTTTAGAGGTAAATTGTAAGGCGAAATTACATTCCTGATTAGTGAAAGACTGCAACAAATGCTATATTTCAGTTCTGTATAACAAAGTGTAAATTTTAATGGATTAGGAAACTAGCTTCAGAGTCCCTATTTCCATCAGCATATCTGTGGAAAGGGAGAAGGAAATCAATAGGAGGGTAAAAATTTTATTGTGATTTCACCACAAAGGCTGGTAAGTCAGCCTTTTCATAATCTCATTTTTGGAGTAATATATGTCTAACCTGTTCCAAAAATAGCTGCTTGTGAGACACAAAATGCTTTAGCAGTTCACTAATATCAATCATCCCAATTTTAAAGCTGAGTGCTGAAACTTGAAATGACCTTTACACTATCCAACAGAAAGTGTCAAGGATTAAATGAGTTTCTTGTTACTGCTTATGCTTTTTGTATAATTGCCAAATCATACCAACCTTCTGGCAATTTACTAGCTTTTTGCATTGCTATTTACTTAGAAAACAGTATACTTACTAATAAATCTTTGTGCTTGGTGACGTAAAATAACTTATCCTCCTTTTTCTACAGATGCAAGTGGTAACCGAGTTAAAAACTGAACAAGACCCAAACTGCTCTGAAACTGATGCAGAAGGAGTGAGTCCTGCCCCTGTAGAATCTCAGACGCCAATGGATGCAGACAAGCAGGCCATTTACAGGTAGTATTATGGACTTTGGTTATGTATTTGAAGGGTAAAAAGTACAGTTCGGGGTGTGTTTTTGCCTTTTTTTTTTTTCTTTTAACTAGGCAGATTAAAACCAGATGAGTTGTAGTTTGCAAGTAAACGATGAGTAAGTTCAAATAAAATGGTTTCATTTTTAGATTCTTTACTTAAGGCAAAAATTTCCCCAAATTTAGGATTCTGTTGCATGATCTTGAAGACTATTATGAAGTGCACATGTCAGTTATTAAAAACAGATATTGCTATAGCTGTAGTGGGCAGCAGGCATCAAGCTTTAAGTTAGCAATAGTATTTTGTCTAGGCTATTGAGGAATAGTGACTTTAACTCAAGCTGTCCCGTTATATTTTATATGTTAGAATTAGCTTCAATAGTATGTAAGGCCTTTTCTCATTTATTTTATTTTATTTTTTTGTGATCAACGAAACCTGTACCACTTTTTCTTTAGATTAAAAATAAATAAATAAAAATGTGCCTTTTCTCACAACTCTGTAATACAAAAATACTTATCTTAGCACTTTTCATTTGAAGATATTAATCAGTATGTATAAACTGCAAAGTGAGGATGTAATTATAGCATGGGTAGGCATACCTGTGTTAGCTTTAATCTAGCTAGTGTGGGTAACAGTAGCAGTGTACACATAGTGGCAAGGACTTTAGTATGGGCTATCAACCAGAATACAAGCCCTCCATGGACCCTAGCCATGTACTTTGGTTGGTAGCCTATTCTGAAACCTGTGCTGCTATGAGTACACTGCTATTGTGACCTGTGCTAGCTAAATTTAAAGCTATCATATGTATGCCTAGCCATGCTACAATCACATCTTCACTTTGCAGTGTAGACATACCAAAAGTGTTTTACAAAAGCACTGTTATTGCCAGTTTACACATGGGGAAAATGACACATAGGAGGGAGGGTAAGTGAGTTGGCCAAGATGACAAAGTGAGTTAATGGTAAAATCATCTTAGTCCTGACCTGAGCCAAGTTAGCTAATTTCACAGTGAGTCTCTCATAATACAGGCCGTTCTCAATTGTACCAAACTGTAAGGTGATTTTATTATATTGAAATGGGGCACATATTGGAGACCAGATGTGTGCTCTCAGGCTTGTTTTTTTTTGTAATTTAAATCTGGTTTTATTTTTTGTGTCAGTGTTAATCCATTACACAGTGTACTAATACATCACCTTCTACTAAATAACAATTAATAAAATGGCATTTCATAGCTTCATAACTGCAATTATGATTTCTTCTTATTAAGGTCCAATTACATAGTCCTGCTTTATTATACAGCTTTAGTTATGTCTAAATCTTATACAGTTTCACTCTTATTTAAAAAAACAAAAACAAAAAAAACCCTCACATGTATTTTGGCTAATATTATCAGTTGTGTTGTATATAATCTGTTAATAAAACTTACAGAATTGCTTTTCTGGATGAGTGGTGGTTAGGTTTTTACTTTTTGGATACCTAACATTATAAAGTAGTAAATATAAATTAAAAAAATATTTATTCAGGCCTGATTTTATTATTTATTTATTCCTAGGCACCCACTGTTTCCATTGTTAGCACTATTGTTTGAAAAATGTGAACAATCTACACAGGGCTCAGAAGGCACTACCTCTGCTAGTTTTGATGTAGATATTGAAAATTTTGTAAGGAAGCAGGAGAAGGAAGGAAAACCCTTTTTTTGTGAAGATCCAGAGACTGATAATTTAGTAAGTATAAAGCATTTTTATGAAGCAAATGACACTTCTCCCTCTTATTCCCAATTACTTCTCTCAACTGCTGCTCTTGGTAGATTCCCAAATCTTTTGATCCTACAATGGTGTATTGTTAGTATTGCAAGTACTGAATTATGAAACTATAGATCAGAAAACGTTTGTAAACTTAGTCTTTTTATCCTTTTTTTTCCTTATCTATAAACATCTATTGCAGTGATTCCCAAACTGGGGTTCATGAACCCCTGGGGGTTCACGAAATGTTACAGGGAGTTTTCGGAGGGGGAAAAATTCCCTAATGGCGGACAGAGCTGTCTCTAGGGACCCCAGGCAGCCCGGGGCCAGCAGTCCGGAGCCCCTGGACTTCCAAGAGCTAAGCAGATCAAAGCAAGCATATCTATCACACACATTTAAACTTCAAGACTCCTTATATGAAATAGAAAGGGAGGTGGATATTTTTTTCTGTTTTTAAAATTAAATAGGCAACTAATATTGTTTTTAAAATTATTATGAAGAATAAGTTTAAGCTTTGTTGTAACGTGCGTTGTGTGCCTGGACTGCTCAAGACCTGAATGCTTGTGCAAGAGGAAGTCTTTGAGTTGGCTTCTTAAATACCTTCACGCTGTTTCACATCTGATACTCCTTGATGAAACATAGGAGCCTTGTCTTATAACAGGCTTATTCAAAATTATACAAGCTACGAAAGTGAGATCTTGGAAGAATGTTGCCTTTTTCATAATGTAATTATACATAATAATTAATAATAAATAGTGTATAATCATGTCATAAAAACAAATTTTATATTTCCAAGATCACTGCTTTTATAATTTATACTCAGGTAAAGGAGAAAATCCCTGGAAATATTCATTTTTAGGAGAGGGTTCGTGAAACTTGACATTTTAATGAAAGGGGTTCACAGGTTGTTGAAGTTTGGGAACCACTGATGTATTGCATTCTTCATTTTTACCACATGCCTCACATTTTTCAGTAGTTGTTTCCAGTATGTGTTCATAAAACAGCTGAGGTTGACATTATATTTAGAGATGAGTTAAGACATATACCCACTACAATCCAGTCGACTGTACAGAGTAGTTTCTCAGAAAGCAATCAGATAATTTTTGCTTCACTGTTCTATATAACTTATCTAGTCAGATTTTCCTGTTCTGTGTTCTTTGCCCTGATGCATCTGCATTGTCTGAGGGAGGAAAGGTTAGAAAATTTGCCCACTAACTTTTATACATAAAAATAAGTCTGAGGCATGGTATGCAATAGGAATATAAGCAAATCTTTTTTTAAAAAAAAAATCAAGTAGAACAGTTTGTGTTGAATGATAAATCAGTTTGAGACAGCATTTCTAAATGATACTCAATTTGGTATTTTGGGCCTATGTAAAAAGCTGTTCAAATGTAGAGTCCTATAAGGTTGTGTCTGTTTTGTAGCAATAAATGGAATTCTGCCATTTCAGACAAGGCAGAGAGAAGGAACTTCAAATTAGGCTGCTCATGAGTACTTGCAGGTAGAGGATCAGAGATTCAGTACCTCTGAAGTCCCAGTTGCTCAAAAGAAGCCTACCAAAAGAGCATTCCAACTTACACAGAAAGAACTCACTGTCTGGTCCAAAAAGGCCCATGTGGCTCTTTTGGCATGCATCACACAAAAAATGTTTGACTACCTTATTTTTATGTTACAGTGAAATATCTTTTCTCTGTATTCTACTTAAGTCAGTGAGTCCTGCTAGTTTCTCATGCACACATGTCAAGCCCAGTAAAGGCCCTTCTCCATAAATTCAACCTCAGAAGTTTGTCTTAGTACATTTTGCATTGCTATTTCTTGTTAGGGCTATGATTTCGGTGGTTTTAACGATGAGTGTCAGAAAAATGTTGGCTTGGGATCTATGGCATCCACACAGAGTTCCAAACATATTTTTACAAGGTATTATTCCTTGAAGTCCACCTCATTGAACCTGTTGAAAGCAGGCAAAAAAGATTATTGTATTGTCTTTTGATCAAGATATATTTTACCTTTTGGTTTTGATTTTTGCACTCTGTTACAGCATATTTATATTATTCCTACATGGTTGCAAGTTCTGTATTTTTACAAATACAGTCTTGGAGCTTTAGAGACTCAGAATAGGGATCTATTATGTATCTTTGGAGAGAAGAGAGTTTCATATCCTTAGTTTTCTAAAAGTGTGTGCATAAGTATATTTTATAGCTTAAAAGACTGTAAACAAAGATTAATGATAAATGGTAATAGATTGAATTGGGGAAGGTGTCTATTGGGATGCCCACAAAGGCTGATGTTAACATTTTTAGCGGTCTTGAAGAGTCAGTAAACATGTTTCATTTATGAATTTAACGAAATTGGGGAAACAAGTCAGGGCAGAAGAATGTTGTAATAGAAAGGGACTTAGAAAGATTAAAAACATGCAGTTAATAACTTGGGGGAAGGGAAAGGTGGGAGACACAAGTCAATACATATAGAAAGACATGATATCATGGAGCAGGGAGGTAGGTAATAGTTCTTATCTATATGGCACTTGTGTGACTGTGGTTGAAATACTGGGTTTCTTTCTGGGTACAAGACCAGAAAGGTATTGACAAACTGGAAGGAATTCAGAAAGGATCATTGGAAACTGTCAGGGGACTGGAGGGAGTGAAGTATAAGGAAACATTGAAAGAGCTTAATACATATTTAAATTAAGCTACTTGGAGGGGAAGGAAGACAATGTGCTGTATTGAAAAGGTTACAATAGGCTTACTTGCAGATTATATACATTTGAGGTGCAGAGAGGAGCTCATGGTGGAGGGCGACTCATGACTAGACTTGAATGAAAGGGAGATAGATAGCTTAGGATATTTCCATTGTCAAGTAGAAAGTTTGTTTTGGTGACTTCTAACTGAACAGAGTTAGACTGGAAGACCCAGTTTGTGTTCAAGAAAGATGGAGACGTAGTTAAGGAGTTAGTGAAATATTTACATTATATTTATTTATAGGCCTTTCAGTGGCACTCCTCTGTTGTCTGAGTACCTTAGAGGCATTAATGCATAATCAACACCTATATGAGGTGAAGAGATCTTACTATCCCCACTTTGCAGATGGGGAACTGAAGCACAGAGATTCAGTGGTTTGTCCAAGGTCCCAACTAGGAAGAGAATTCAGAACTCCTGAGTCCCTGTCTAGTGTTTCAACCATGAGGCCTTTGTATCTCTCTAACAGAGAAGCAAGGTTTGATGTAACTTGCATAAGAAAAGGTCATTGACATTGTGAAATAATTTGCCCAGACAGAAAGAAGAAGAAATGTGTTTGTATCCTATAACGGTTCTGTGGCTAAATCCTGTAGTAGAGTGGCTTTTGCCACCATAGACCAAAATAATGAACAGAATGTGGAAGAGAGAAAATAAACCAGGTCCTTCCACCGGCTTTTTGAAAGCTGCAAGCAGCAGGGGCACGTGGTGTTTGTTCATTTTAACTGGAATGTTAATGACCCAGTGAAGCCTTGTGAAGTACTCATACCACTATATTATCATAAGTATTGGTAATAAGAATAACTGCTATGTTAATGGCTATAATGATATGTTCTCTCCCATCATATAAAAAGTGTAGCCGAGCCAATAGAAAACACTGCAGGTTTACTGATATTCTGTAAGACCCACCACATTGCTGCCACCATTTTAGATTCCTCTTGAAAAGGAAAGAGCCCCGCTGCAGACATTTCACACCTTCAAAGATTGTTTTCAATTAAAATATCTTGTTTAAATATGAGGTTCATTGTCAAGGGGGGAAATACATTTAATGGTTTTAAATAGCCATAAAGATTTCTTTCTGAGAGAGATTTCAGCCATTATTTCAGATTCAGTCATCTTTGATGTCATGAGTGACATGGTACGTGCTCTTGTGAGTCTGCTTGCTAACATGACAGAACTGTAAGCAGAATTCCCTAAACAGACCATTGGTGTTAGTCTCATTTTTAAGTCCATGATCCTAGTATATTGACTGGCAGGAATTCTTATAGTCTTAGAATTGAGGGACAGCTCTTTTCTTCCCTCAGTTCTGCCAGTTTATTAGCCTGTAGTGCCTCTGTCAGTTCTTTCACGACTGACAGCAATGGAGTGCCTGACTGCTGCTGCTCCTATATCAGCCACAGCTTTTGACTGGCATCTTAACATTTCCTGTGGGTTTTTTTTTCTTCCAGACTTCTATTAATCTGCCTTAGATTCTGTCATCAAAATAAGTAAAAATGAAAGTCATTTTATTCTGCATGAGGTAGATCAGATGATACTGCCTCAAGGTATTTTTAACTTTTTGAATATTAACAAAGACGCTGTTTTCCTTTGTCCCCCGTTCCTGGTTTCTTTCAAGAGGAATAATCGAAATCTTTAAACTCAATTTGCCCCTAGATCGTTTTGGCCTTGTTTATGTCTTACTCCAAATACCTTAGATAGGTTCTCTATGGTATATGTGTTCGTCATACTCCTCCCCTATTTGGGAGCTTTCCACTATGAGATAATTAAGAAATGACACCTCTGACCAGTGTAACCTCTTCCCCCACCTGTTGGTATTATTGGACATTCTGGATTGCTCACATGTCAATATACAGTCCAGTCAGTCAAGGGCACCAAAGAAATGAGCAGAAGAGTTACTCCCCAGGAGCCAACCAGACACAGGGTTCTTATGTCAACCCTCCTTGAATTATTAGTGCTCCCACAACAAGGGAGGCTTGCAACTGGTTGCAATGGCAGCCTTTCTTCTCTTATAACTTTTAAATTATATATATAAAAATATCCAGGTGGAATGGGCAGGAACCTTCATTACAAGGTTGATTTCTCCTCCTCCTTCCCCCCACCCCCCAGCTTCTCTTCTTCTGTCTTTGGCCCCAGCTCATCCTGGCAAAGAATGCAGGCACCAACAGGAACTGTTATCAGGACAGCCCAGAGAGACTCAGAGTGGGCCAGACGACTGCAACGCTCCCTTCCTTCCAGTCCAGTCCCCGTTGC